GGGGGGGGGGGGGGGGGGGGGGGGGGGGGGGGGGGGGGGGGGGGAGACGGAAACGGGGAAGGTGAAACAATGCATGTTGTGTGTATTGTTGCATTTGTGTTACTCTGATGTGGTTGTGCACGTTCCTCCAATTCATAGTCTAGCAAGAGAGAGAGAGAGAGAGAGAGAGAGAGAGATGAGGGTAGTGCTATAGTGCCAATGAACCGTTGGGCAAATGATTTTGTGCTAAGCCAGGCGATTTCTTTGTAAGAGGAACGCTTTGTTCTGACACAACGCACGCGCGATCGACAAAGCGCTGGCTTCACGCGAACCCCCTATTATACTTCTCAATGGTCATTGCTTTGACAAAAAAACAGATACTTCATTGGTGTTGACATGTCCTTCGAGTTCCCACGCGGCCGACAGCGAAATCCCACATTTTACCCCCACCCATTACCGATTCTTACCTGTGATCGGCAAAACGCTTGTTTCTTGCGTGATGAACTGCTAGTAAGCCCGTTACCAGGAAGTACCCCGCGAAGAGGAGCGCCCCCCTTCCGCCCCGTGAATCCTGTGGGTTGGAGGATATTTGCAATTTTACAATCTTCGTCAATCCATCAGATGACGGCTGTGGGCACTCCTAATGGACCAAACAGATACGAAAAACATGCGATCCCCCGGGTTCAAGGGTGCCGCCAAAAAGCTACTACAAACTCCCGCTAACCATGACAATATTCACATGAAATAATCTCCTCCCGCTGAACATACAACAACATTCGGTCGACATAGTCTCCTCCCACTTACTACTCAGGTGCGCGTTTTGCTGTGTCCACCCACGAAACTTCATGCACTGCTGCCGCAAGCCCCGATTCAACCGGCAAGCGAAACGCCTTTTCTTTCCACCCCAAACCTAGGGGTGAGACTCTTGATCCGTACATGAAACGAACAAGTGTTCCGTTTCAGCTGAGATCGCTACCACAATCAATGCACTTGGTCCGAGCGTCGTTCTACTCGCCGTAGTCGTGGGGGCCACGCCGAGGACAAGAGGGACGAGCCCGAGGGAAATGCTGACGCTCATGAAGATGAACAGGCGGCCAAGCCTGCGGTGGGCCGCGCGGTGCTTCGCTCGGAAGGACGGGTTGAGCTGCAACGGAGCGATCACGCTCCAGAGTCCAGCGGGGAGGATGTGCATGAACCTTCCCGCTGATGCAGCAGCAGCACGGCCAAGGAGAGAATTAGGGGGAGAGACTCTCGTGGTCATTTGGACGATGGTTAGAAAAAAATTACAGTGGGGGGGGGGCGGCAACGTCATTTCCACGGACAGGCCCGCCCCCCCAGGGAGACTTATCACGATTCAACGACCACACACAATGGACTAGCAGTTGAGAAGGATTCAGCGAAGTACGCACGTCAGACAGGGACCTCAAACACACAACTGCTATATTTCAAACACGCGTCTTCGAGTGTAGAGTGTAGAGGGGAAACCAACAGCGAAGGGCTCCGGGAATACAACACAGGAAGGAAAATGAGGCCTTACCCACGTCCAACAACTTACGACGGCATGCAGGCATTGAGTCCTGCCGTGTCTGCAGCAGCACTAAATACGAAGACGAACGACGACGAATAGAAGATTCATCGACGCAAGGGAGCAACGGGCACGCAAACATCGAAGAAGAAGGGCATGGATACCTTCATCAACCAAAACCCGCCTTGCAAGTGTCAAACCGTTGACACATCACACGCGACGAGAGTGTAGCCGACGAAAAGAAGAAGACGCGTTCGACACGATGCTAAATCTCTCTCACCCGGCGTTCGGGCGTAGGCCAAGAAGGACGGTTTACCCTCGGCGTCGAACAGCGGGGTGGATCTGTAGAAGCCTTGTTCGCCCTGCGCTTCTATCCGCCTGCACGCTCATCGTTGTCCAAACCCATGAACAAAAAAACAGCCGAGTCTTTCAACGGAAAGGAGACAAGAAGTGCGCAGGTGCCATCACCGCTCGATGGCGGTTTGTGGTCCAATGGGAAGTATATCCCCCCTGTGTATCTGCAGCTGGAATGCGAATGAATCTATTTTTTGTGTGTGTCTCGGTGTTCGAGTCTTCCACGCTCTGCAGGCAGGAAGAAGGCTCGCCTTCTTATGTTATAGTCCAATCGTGTTTGACACAAAGAGAGTCACCTGTTGACGGACCGGGCGTCAAGCCAAAAGCCAAGACACTAGCAGAACCTTGTTGAGTACCACAGAGCATCCAAGTTGTACCTCGAGGACGGAGAGAGATTGAGGAATCTTACACATGATGTGCGCTGATGAAGCAACAGACATGGGCTGAAGAAACCGCTGCACAAGAAGCAGTAGCAGTAGTGGTGTAGAGCAGTAGCGAAGGTGTACGAAGCGCCTTGAAGTTACTTCACCTCGTTATAGAAGGGAAGGTACCGATGCCCCACGTCTGAAGCACCAGGTTGTGGACCACCATGATGAACGACAGAAGCATCAGCATCGACCACATCGCCGTGCTAAACCGCCGATGCTCAAGAACTCCGAGCATCAGGAGTCTTCCAGCAGGTTGACTGCCGCCTGAAGAAGGAAAAGGGCCTGACGCAGGCAGCTGGGGAGCCATTCCACCACGTGCAGGGGTTTTCGGCAGGCGTGTGAAAATAACGTCAACGGCTTCTTCTGCTAGAGAGTAAAATTATGCCTTGCGTTGCGATTGCCGTGGCTCCAGCTCGTTTGTCATTTGTGTGTTTTCGGCGGGCGGCGGGAGCGGGGGCGGCGGGGCGGCGCAATTACGTGGTCCCGCCCCCTTTCATTATGGGCGAGTATCAGGCGTCCAGCAGGTCTACTGCCGCCTCAGGAGCAGGAACAGGGTCTGATGCAGATAGCAGGGGAGTCATTCCACCACGTACAGGAGATTTGGGTGTAAGTCGGCTGTAGGGCGGCTATATACAGCGCCAGTAGTACAACGCCCAGCGGGCGGCGGGCGGAATTATTCGTAGTCTACCCACCGGCCTTTGATTGGCTGATGCGAACAGTCCACACGTGTATGTGTCCGGGATCTGATGCAAGGTAAATAAGCAATCGACGGAGATTGTGGGGTTTTGCCGTGTTGAGTACCCCGACCCGTCGTTGCAAAGGCTGACGTCGCAGACGTTCGTTACCTCCAGTGCTAGCGCACTGCAGCGGCAGAATAGGCGCACTTGTTGTTGGTGCTGAGTAGATGGGCGCATGCGGCCAACGACGACGCGTAGACAACAATCGACGAAGAAAGCAGAGCACGACCACCTCAGATCATCAGGAGACTGAGAATGCAGAGAGAGAGAGAGGATGGCATGGGACACTTACTTCATGGACATCACGGAACCACATAAACCCAGCAACAGCCAATCCCAAGTGTTCATAAGACGGTACTGGTAAGCTGACAAGCATCGATGGCAAAGATTTCTGCAACACCATGCTCTCGAGCCTCCTAGGGTGCTCATTACGATTCTGGAAGCATGCAACAGAACACAGCTTGAATATCTAACCTTGCATCGATTCACGCATGCATGCATGTTTGGATTTGCCTACTACGGTTGGTCTACGCCAGGAAGACAAACCATGAGGGCTCTGGTTTCAATCTAGGAGCTAGGTCAACCCTTTCCTACTACTTGCGGCAGTTTGGGCATGCCCTGCTAACCCAAGGAGCGTTTTCATGTCGCCCGCTAGTGCGTGAATGTTCGTCTCCGTTTCATCGTCCCCGACTGGTCGATCGGTTCCTGCAAGCCGGCAAGCCTTCACATCTCTCAATGTCGTGCTACATATGTACAGTTTCGGCCGCCGACACTCTACTATCGTAGGGCAACTGCACCCAGAAATTGCTTGAAGCCCATTTCGTGAAACTGATGTCTCCTACAGAAGACTACGGCGGAATATTTACATGCGAAGCTGAACCGCGGCATTGTGGGGTTCTCGTCGCTTGGCGAGGATTCGTTCGGCCATTGACTGCTGTGGCTCAGAACGGCTTTACGGCCATGGTTGCGGCGCATACGTGTACGGTTCAGGTATGGTACGTCACGAGGCCTTGATGGAGAGCTCTGGTTCTTGCTGCGCTCGCAGCACTATTCCGGACGGCGACGTGTGCCGCAGCCACACCTCCATTAGCCCCACCGTCAGGGTAAGGCCCACAAAAAATCTGCTCCGTGCATACGCATAGGGTCCGATAGGGTGGGGGGGGGCGGCGGGCGGGCCGTCCGGCGGNGGGGGGGGGGGGGGGGGGGGGGGGGGGGGGGGGGGGGGGCCCCCCCCGGCGGGGGCGCGTCAGGTAGGAATACTTGAAAGGGACACCTATCTCTCGAGCGGGTAATAAATATCCCGCTGTGGCCCATACGGGGAGGGAAGCGCTTGCGATGAGACATCATTGATCGTCAGCAGGATGCTCGACGCGGCAGTATTCCGCCGGACAGTGGCCTAGAAAGCCTGTAGGGGTCCATACATATCTACTTACTCCTACCCTGGCGCTTTTTGGTTTCATTCGAAATATCCATTTCGCTCGCACTGCTGTCGACATAGCGCAAGATGGTTCCTACTCCTCGCTTAGTGACTGCGGCCAAAGCTCTCAAGAGTCCACATGCGTTGAACATGGTATGATTCAACATCGAAACTCACCGGACACAGTGCCCCGACAACCCAACACACCTACACGCGTGCTACGTCGAGGAACATCCGCCCACGGGCAACACGCCACACAGAACTGAGTCCCCCCCCGCCCCTCCTCCAATCAACCACATTCAGATTTACAAACCAGTCACATTCCAAGCACTCACACGATATGAACACGTTAGCACGCAATTCCTTCCCGTCCTTCGTGAGGTCAGTGTACCCGGGCATCAACAAGGGGAAGATCCACCAGGTCAGGTGGCCGAGAAGGCGCTGCATGTGCACCGAGTATCCCATTGCCACGTGTCGCAGCATCCAAACCCTAAAGTTGGTTGGCATACGAGCATTGGGGGGGGAGGGGGGGGGACGGTGGAACAGTGCATGTTGTGTGTATCGCGCTTGCCGTATCTGTGGTTCCTTCATGTAGGTGTGCACGTTCCTCCAATTCATAGTCCAGCAAGAGAGCGAGAGAGAGAAAAAAGAGAGAGAAAGAGAGAGAGAGAGAGATGAGGGTAGTGCCATAGTGCCAATAAACCGTGGGGGCAATGAAAATGTGCCAAGCCAGGCGAATTTTTCGCAGAGGAGACGCTTTGTTCTGACACAAAGTCGCCACCCTCTTCCTCGTACCACGCACGCGCGATCGACAAAGCGCTGGCTTCTCGCGAAATACCCCCACTTCTTTCTCAATGGTCGCTTTCGATGTTTTGACTAAAACAGGTACTTGGTTGATGTTGACATGTCCTTCGAGTTCCCTTGCAGCAGGCAACGGCGAGATTTCAAGCTTCACCCACACCCATCACCGATTCTTATCTGTGATCGGCAAAACCCTTGTTTCTTGCGTGGTGAACTGCCAGCAAGCCCGTTACCAAGAAGTAGCCTGAGAAGACGAGCGATTCCCTTCCGTCACTCCAATCCTGTGGGTTGGAGGGTATTCACACTTACGATTTTCAATTTTCGGCGACGATGGCGGTTGCAGGCACTCCTAATGAACCAAACAAATACGAAAAACATGCGACCCCCCCGGCTTCTAGGGTGCCGCTGAAGGTAACAATATTCGGTCGAAATAGTCTCCTCCCACATACTACTCAGGTCCGCGGTTCGATATGTCCGACCAAGATACTTCATGCACTGCTGCCGCAACCTCCGGTTCAACCGGCAAGCGAAACGCCTTTTCCTTCCACCCCACCAAACCTAGGGGTGAGAATCTTGATCCGTTCATGAAGCGAACGAGGGTTCCGTTTCAGCTGCGATCGCTACATACCACAATCAATGCGCTCGGTCCGAGAGTGGTTTTACTCGCCGGAGTCGTGGGGGCCACGCTGAGGACAAGAGGGACGAGCCCGAGGGCAATGCTGACGCTCATCAAGATGAACAGGCGGCCAAGCCTGCGGTGGGCCGTGCGGTGCTTCGCTCGGAAGGACGGGCTGAGCTGCTGCGGAGCGATCACACTCCAGAGTCCAGCGGGGAGGATGTGCATGACCCTTCCCGCTGTTGCAGCAGCAGCAGCAGCAGCAGCAGCAGCAGCAGCAGCAGCAGCAGCAGCAGCAGCAGCAGCACAATGAGGGTTATGTGGGGGAAGAGACTCTTTGGTCATTTGGACGATGGTTAGACGAAAAATTCAGTGGGGGGGGCGGCAACGTCATTGCCACGGGTAGACCACCCCCCCCCGGGGACTCAACACGATTTTACCATCGGGGTTGGGTTTTCGTCGCTTGGCAAAGACGTTGTAAAAAAAGCCGCCCCCCCCGGTGTTTTCCACCCGCAATCTAGACTTCAGTGGGTTGGCGCTGTTGGCAAAGCGCTGTAAAACACGCCACCCCAAATATAGCCC